TGAAAAAGAAAGTGCTAGTGCTAGTACACCTTAGAGTAGACTGAAGTGACCATTATAGCGACAACAGATCAAAAGAATTTATAAGACAAATGCTCAATGATGTGGAGACTTCAATCTGCAATCAAGCACTTAAATTGTTATTTCAGTAGTAAATGGGCATGGATTTCAGTTGAGTATCAGTAAAAGTAAAAGCAAGACAAGGTATATTAACAAGATGTACTAAGATTTAGTAGGCCTATTGGGTCCTCATACCCAACCCAGCGCGTCCCCAGGTGGTGGATAGGGCAAAGGCCTCCAGATATGGAGCTTAGCTGCTAAGCAGTCGCGAACCAAATGGGAGATGGTCGTGGAGAGGTGCTTCAGTAAATACCTCACACACTCGAAGAAGGGACCATCTTGGCGACAGGAGGCACCATAAATCCTTCCAAAGCCCCCATTGCCTTGTGGCTTGTCAGTGGAGGACAAAGGCTAGCAGAGAAAACTGTACACAAAGCGGCAGTAGGCAACGGGAAACCACTGCTGTAATCTCCCAAGAACAACCATGGAAAAGAACATTCATTTTCTAGATAGGCCTTCTAGATAACAGCGTTAAGGGGGTTCATGATCCAGCTCTGAACTCCCCGCTCTGTAGGGACTACCACGGGCAGCAGGAGGCGCCCGATCGTCACCCAGCTACTGGTTGCAAAAATAGACTACTTAACATAGCCACATGGAATGTGAGAACATGTACCAGAAAGGCAAATTAGATAATATAGAGCAGGAAATAGAATAGGATGAAGCTAAATATGTTGTTAGGCCTTTCAGAAGTTATATATGGAAGGGGGCAGGCTTGATTAAAAGAGGATCCTAAACAACGGTATACTCAGGAGGAAAAACCCATGAAAGAGGAGTCGGGATTTTATTTGGCGAAGCAACAGCAAAGAGCATCAAAGGTTTTTGGGGAGTGTCAGATAGAGTCTTCGTGGCTAAATAAGAGGGAAAACCTTTATACTTTATACATAGGTGTCATCCAAATATATGCACCAACATCAGAGCACGACGAATAAATTGAGACTTTTTATGAAGACCTTGATAAGGCAATGAAACAGCTAAAACCACAAGATCTAAAGGTACCGGTAGTCATGGGGGACTTTAATGACAAAGTAGGAAGTACACACACGTATAGAAGATATAGTTGGGCCGTGGGGACTGGGTAAAGAGAATGAACACATGGAGCGACTGATAGAATGGTGCAGAGGAAATAACTTTATGATATCAAACACCTGGTATGAAAATCACCCAAGAAGATGATACACTTGAGAAGAGTCCTGGCGATAGAAGTTGAAATCAAATAAACTTCATACTTATTCAGAAACGTTTTAGAAATGCAATTAAACCATCTAAATCACTGCCAAGAGCAGACTGTGATAGTGACCACGTATCAGTCATGTGTAAAATGCAGACGAGACTGAAGAAACATAAAAAGTCAAAGTACCAACCAAAATTTGACATAGATCTATTTTAAAGTCAAATCAAGAGCTGAAAAAACGTTTCTCCATAGATGTAAGCAATAAATTTCAAGCTCTGAAAAACATTACTAAATCGGAAGAACTATGGAGGAAAATAAAAGAATCAACAATGGAAGCTGTGGAAGAAAATATCCCCCCTCCCCCAAGTTAAAAGAGCAAATAAAAAATGGATGACCCAAGATATGATATTAAAACTAATGGAAGAGAGAAGACAGGCTAAATCAAACGTGGAAAAGTACAACATCTTAAACAGGGAAATAAAGAAAAAATGCAACGAAGCAAAAAAACATGGATAAATTATCAAGGTTAACAAATAAAGAAGAACCCAAACAAAGACAGCAAATACAGGCATTTCAAAATCAAAAGTAAGTGGGATAAAAGGATGCTCAAATACAAGATGCATAAGATCAAACGGAGGAGATATTTTAATGGATAATGGGGATGTCTTAAACAGATGGTCAGAATACATAGAAGAACTTTTCAAAGATAATAGAGGAGAAAAACCGGTAATACAGAATGAAATAAATGGACCATCAATACTGAAAGCAGAAGTACAAGCTGCCATCAGAAAAATGAAACAAGGAAAAGCCAAAGGGCCAGATAATATTCCAGTTGAAGTGATTGTCCCGCTTGAAGAACTAGGCAATGAAATAACAACAAATCTCCTAAATGCTATAATTTATGACAGCGGTGAGATCCCAGAAGGTATGATGAAGTTAGGTTTTACAGCTTTACGGTAAAGTTTACCTAAAACACTAGGTGCCACAGAGTGTGATATGATAGGACAATTAGCTTTATAATGACTATTTTACAAAAATATTGCTGCGAGTAATAATGGGAAGATAGAGAAAAAGTGTAAGACCAGAGATATATATCTAAACCGAAATTCGGCTTTGTTCCTGACAAGGGCACCAGAAATACTATATTCACCATAACAATGTTAATGGAAAGATGTATTGAAGCACAGACTCAAACTCAAAAGCAGTGGATATCCTGTAATTTATACAGATGATTCAGTGCAAAGAGATAGCCAGCGAAGTGGATGGGGATTTGTTGCATTTGCCAACAATAAAATGAACTGAAGCACAGAAAGATCCGTATTTTTATGCTTCATAGATTATTCAAAGGCATTCGATAAAGTTAGACATGATACTGGAAAAGCTAGACATAGGTGGAAAAGATCTAAGAATTATCAGAAATTTGTACTGGGACCAAATCGCTGCTGAATGAAATAATGGAGAATATAGTGAATATAAGCAGATTAGGAGAGGAGTGAGGAAAGGATGTCTCATGTCACCAGACCTCTTTAACATGTACAGTGAAACAATTATCCTTAGAAACATAGAAGAATGTCCAGGTCTCAACGTAAATGAAGAAAATATTAATAACATCAGTTATGCGGATGACACAGTCTTAATAGCAGGCTCAGAAAAGGACCTTCCATTGCTTCTAGATACTGTGTAACAGAAAGTGAACTTAAAGGATTATTGTTGAACGTAAAGGAAACAGAATGCAAGAAAGCAGCAAATCCTAGTTGTAATCTCATTAGCAAAGGCGAAAAGACCAAACAAGTCCAACAGTTTAAATATCTAGACATATATGATAACATCTGATGCCAAATGCTCCACAGAAATAAAACGGAAAATTACAATGGCAAGGCTAGTTTCAATATATATAATGAGCCCAATCCTGAGAAATAGAAACACTTCAAACTCAAATACTGCCAAAATGAAAGTTTTGAAATGCTAAGTATGGTCAACCCTTCTATTAAAATATATATATGGCTGTGAATGCTGGAAAATCACTAAAGACAGTGAAAATAAAATAGAAGCAACAGAAAGTCATGCAAACTTAAACAACACGCTTAATTAAGTTTGCAGATGACTCCGCTATTATTGGAGTAATAAGCCTTGACGAAAAAGAGTATTCCGAAGAAATACGTATGTTTTTTAAATGGTGCAATTCAAATTTTCTAAAAGTGAACCTCTCAAAAACAAAGGAAATGATTTTTTATTTTAAAAGAGAAAAACCAACAATCTCACCACTCGTAATTGAACAAGAAACAATTGAAATCACGGATTCATACAAATATCTTGGTCTTACAATAGACAACAAATTTACATGGCAAAACAACGTAAACAATATATCGTTAAAAAAAGGTAAATCAGAGGCTGTACTTTCTGAGGAAACTTAGGTCTTTCAATCTGAATCCATCCATCCTTCAGAATATTCTACACCACCACAATAGAAACTTTGATAAATTTTGGTATCACTTGCTATGGTAGTTGGTAGCAATTTGGGTAGGCAGCACATCATAAAAATAAACAAGTTGATCAGAAAGGCATCAAGAACAATTGGTAGTGACCTAAGCAACTTTGAATACCTGCACAAGACAAACATTCTAAAAAAGGTGGAAATAATGCTTAGTGACCATAACCACTCACTGACATCGGAATTTCATTCAACTATCCACCCGCAGTGAATTATACATTTCCAAAAAAGCAAGAACAGACAGATATATATAGAAATTTATTCGTACCAACTGCAGTGAGGTTACTGAAAACAAAGTGCTACAAATGAGAGAGAGAGAAAGAGAGAGAGAGAGAGAGAGAGAGAGAGAGAGAGAGAGAGAGAGAGAGAGAGCGTGCGGGTTGTCCCAGCACGTGAGACTTGTACTTATAATCATAATGTCCTGTTGTGCGTATGCGCGAGCGTGAGTGCACCTAACTTTTGTAATTATGTCTACTGCCATTGTTATCGACCAAGACAAATTTCTCCCTGCGAGATGAAAAAAGATTGTCATTGAAATGCGGCTTCTTAGGAGACTGCAAAGAGTATTGTGGAAGGAAAAGAAATCAAGTGAAGTAGTGCTTGATGAAGTCCACGTGAGACGCTCACAGTTAAAAATAAACAGGAAACGACAAATGCATGTTTTAGAGACACCTGAATAGACTTCTTGTCTTGAACATCTAGCTGGCAAAATTGAAGGTAAGTGAGGCAGTGGTAGGCCCAGAGCAACCTACTTGGGGAACCTGAACAAGTGGGTGACAGGGAAAGATCAAGGAAACATAGCTTTTAAAATTTAAGTCATCCGAGCAAAGGAATGAATGGAGAACCATGATCGCCAATGTCTGTCGCAGATCTGGCACTGGATGATGATGATTTTGTGCTTTATCCGCTCACTCTCGTAACAGCAGTGTTTGACCGTATAATAACATATATATCACTATTGCATGCATTAAATATATATATTTTCAGGTCAGTATACACAGATAAAATTTTCAGTATCAATATATATATTATTTTTTCATCACGCCATATTCTTAAGACGATTTAAAAGCCACTCAGCTGTTACAAACCAAAAACTGTCGGGTCTGAAGATCAAAGAAGCAATCCTGCCCATGCCTCCAACTGGTGATATGACATGTAAATGAAGATGAGATATAGAATTAAACGGTGGCCAATGAAATCCAAGTCTAGCATTTTCCGTACTTCCGTTCACACTCTGGAGGTACTCGGTCCCTACTGAAACCATTCTTTCCACTAAGTTCACATCTGAAGCTTTTAAACTCTTTGGGTCCTTCAGATGGTCTTTAGGCACAACAAGATAGTGATGCTCTGCTGCAGGCTTGATGTCCTTGAAAATGACAAATTCATCATCATCATGCAGCAAGCGGCTATTTGGTTCCAGTTTGTGAGCTATTTTGCAGAATATACATTTGGGATGTTCAACTGGATTTTCATTTACCGGTACTGCCATTATCTGTTCTCCTTACTGTGCAGATTCTGTATATAAACAAAGGAGTTAAATTAATTATTTATGCACAAAATAATTCAAAATTCTTTTTACTATGACATTCACTGAAAGATTCAGTTTCAAATTATTTTTGAACAGTATCAAACCATCCGTATGTTGGGAACAAAGACAAAAGAGCTCCATTTCTGGTCAATACAGATTTGATTTCAAAGCAACCATCTGAGTGAACGATTGGGGGGGGGGGGGGGCTCTTGAGTACACTACAGGGGCTACTTTAAAAAAAATTAAGCCAATGGAAGTCGTTCTACACTGACAATATATGGTTTGCGTTATTTATGCACGCACTTTCAATACAGTTTCAGGCCTTTTAAAAGACGGAACCCTGAATTTGGGGGTCAATTAATTAGCCAAGAGGAAAGCGATTAAAAAATGTGCATGCTTCATCACTACATAAAAAACTACAAAGTTAACAAAGCAGCAAGTATAATTTATGGGAAAAATTTGTTGGTCAGTCGAGAAGAGGACAAAAAAAAAAGCTTCCAAGACCGGGATCGAACTCATGCTCATAACATAGTGGTTCGGCTTCAAATGCAGACGCGCAGTCCCTATTGGCCATCAGAACTTCCGACAATGAAAGGTAGATTAAGCTTCATATTTATAACACACAGCGTTTTATTTATCACTAGAATCTAGCGCTAATTGCAACGTGGCGTTTTATAAAATTTAGCACTGGCGCTGATCATAACGCGGCGTAGCAAATAGGCACTTCCAAAAAAAACCCTTCCGGGACTGGGATTCGATGCCACGCTTGGAAGCACTGAACATTAGGCCTAGGGAACATCAACAGCTTGTGTAATACGTTCTCTAGGCTCTAGATCTACTACTACTAGTCTAGATACCTAGATCTAGATCCTATGCCACTTTCAGATATCATTTAGATCGGTAAATTTTTACTTTCACTCCCCCACACAGATGCACTGCTTCAGGGGTCAAACTGCTGTACTGTTTGCTGCAGATCACACATAAAGCCACTAAAACTGTCGCAAATCAATTATTTTCAGGAAAATTTCAAATGTAACTGTAAAATATCAAATTATGGGTTAAAACCCCGCAGATTTTCTCTAACCCCAGGTGGGCAGGCCCCCCTGGAACCCCCCGATTGGTCCAAAGCACGTCTCCTATCTCGATTAAGAACAATAAAATATTTCAAAAACTATTAATTTGCGACGGAAAAGAAGTTGATATAGATATCTAGGCCTATATATATTCGTGTTCAGCGCATCAATATATATTAGTAGAAAATGGTCTCCCCCTGACAAAATCGACCCTGACTGAATAGAAAAGAACTTCCAAGATTCACCACTGAGACAATTTGAGAGAGATAGATCTAGATCTAGATCTATTAAAAACTGGGGAAAATCATGAATTCCGAAGGTTGAGACATAGATCTAGATATCTAGGCAAAGTCAGTCCGCTGGTCCAGTATTCTTCAATCTTACTAGAATTCTAGGCACTTCAGTGAACGCGCTCATTATAGCGTCATTTGGCTTCGGAAAGTCCCATTCAGGGTTTTGTTTCCGGACATGACGTTAGTTAGTTAGTGATGGCAAAGATAGTGAATAACAAGATGGGCCACTCAGCCAAAAAAGTGTCCGCAGGAAGTATGCTCTTTGCT